TAAAAGTGTACGACTACTAAAAGCATTCCATTCTCTTTTAATATCAAATTCATCAGTATCATCACATTTAAGTGTGTAAGTGATACATGGATTTTGTGGTATTTCAAATCGTACAGCAAAAGATACTGATAAATAGGTAAGATCAAGAGCTATATTAAATCGTACACCAAGATCTCTTGATGCATAAACTAAATTTTTGGCATATTCAGAAATTACTTGTAATGCTGGTTGACCATCAATATGAGTTACTTCGCAATCAACATTAGATCGGTCAATAGTGTCATTAAAGACTTTGATTTTCTAAAGAAAAAAATAAATCGAGTTAAAATCATTATCAAATTTAGATAAATAATAAACATAAATTACCTGTTCTCCATTATCAATAACGGAATAAAATGTTATGTTTGTATAGAAAAGAAATGTTGTGAAACACTCTGAACTAAATACTGTATGCGCATCTTTCAAATCATAAAAGAGATGTTCAACATCGGTCTATTATATAAGGTTATTAACATAAAAAAAAATTATATATATTATATACGTAGTGATATATAAATAGAATAAAGTAATATAGATTAAATTGAAATAATAATTACTGTAAAATCATATAAGGTAGCGTAAGGTTTATTTCTAAGCTGATCTAATTCAGCTACTAAATCCATTGATTTAAAGTCAAAACCGGGTTGTGGAGGTTCCTTTGCTTTATCCAAAAATGAATAAAATCCACCGACAAGACCAGTTAAAGTATCGATTGTCTAAAATTTTAATATAAATCATATGTTGATCAAAACACATTACGTATTATATACGTAATTTTATGTATATACGCATACATGTATATAAATACCTTAGAAGGAACATCTTTGTCAAACGGAATGCCTTCATAACAATCTTTGACGTCGGCATAACTAAAATTGGTTTTTTGTTTTGCAATAAATTCATTATGAATTCTAGCACATCCATCAGAGACAGGAGTTTCTCGTGGAATTATATAAGATCGAACATTCACAACCAAGGCGAATAAGAATGCGAAAAATACTACGTAGAAATTCATAGTATAACGCATTAAAAAATTTCGGCAGTCATGTTTCTGAGGGCTTATAAGTCTTTGACTTTGCAATATTTCTAAAAATAGTTTAGCGGAGATCGGAACCTTTTTCATTGAGCAAGGGGTTTTGTTAAACTTTAGCTAAACAAACAAACATTCATTACTATTATTGCTAAAATCCAAATGGTGATAATAAAATGAGGACAAATTTCCTTTTCATGGCAAAGTTGATGGTTAAGTCCGATAGATCTATAGGTGAAATTGCTAGATCAAGAAGGTATTGCCATATATGTATAATAAATCTACTGCGTAATTAAAAATTCTAGAATGGCTTTATTTATTCATTCTACCCATCAAGAAACATAAGATGAAAATTTTCTTATTCTAAATTTGTAAATTAAACTTGTCAAGATTATTTTAACTTATAGCAATATGCTGTAATTACAACTACAAATGATTAATGTTCTTTGATGATGCTATACACAAGATTAGTACTTAAATGTTAAAAGCTCGGTTACTATGACTATATAAAGAAGCATTTCTTGTAATTCAACGCTGTAATTAATAACTTCGATAGCTTATACAGTCAGACCTCCCTAAATGCACGCCGTCGGGGCCAGCTCTAAAGCGTGGATTTGGGGAGGATTGCAATTAGAGAACACTAATAAATCATGTTACCATTATCATGTGATAAATATGGCTTTAGTAGCCTAGAAATGATGGATTTGATTGGCCGATAATCACGTGGTTGCATTTATGGAGGGAGTTTTATAAGTGGGCCGTGCAATTGCAGAATAAAGAACGTGCATTTATCTATAAATCCCATTATGGGGCTAGTCTTCTATCGTGCATTTAGAGAGGTGTTGCATTTAGGGTGTTGTATTTAGGGGTTGTATTTAGGGAGGTCTGACTGTATTATTAATACTTTGTGGTTATATGGTAAATACATTTGCAACACGGTAAAATAATCTACTAGATGCTTGCTATATTAAGCCGTACAGCTACATAAATACATATGTACGTACGTACGTACAAATTTTTGTAAGTTGTATCTTTGATCACTCAGTTTCTAGAAAACCTATTTAACACCAATTATATCTTAAATGTAGTGGTCTATCAGAATGAAATTCGGTGACGTATGCATCAAAGTCAAACCATATGTTTACGTATTCTATT